GTACCGGCCATGGATGTGGCATCACGGGAGCGACCCCGCGGAAGACGATATGACTCCGGCGGTGGATGAGCTCATATTTCTCCGGCGAATCTCGGGTCAGGCGGGCCCCTTCGGCCGCGGGCAAACGAGCGGGGGGGGGGCGGGGGACGGCTCTGCAGGCAAACCTCCCCGGCCTTTTCCACGAATCCACCCCCCCCCTTCCACCGGGAGCAGGGGACGGCGCCGCGCTCAATCAACGCCCGCCGATCACCCCTCTCCACCTGTGCAACCCCAACCCCTCGGCGCGGCGATTAGAGGACCGTCACGCATCGCGGCGCGCCCTCCCTAAACCGCGCACCTCCGCGGGGTCCGCGGGCGCAGTTAGGCGGTTCCGGCTCCCGATAGCCGATCCCGCGGTGGTGGACTGACATACCTTTTCGTTCAAGACGGTGCACTGCCTAGGGCCTCCCGCCGCGAACCCACCGCCGCCGCCTATGGAACGTCATTGTGGACTTTACTAAAGCATAACGACGGTGAAACTACCAAACCACGTATCTCGTTTGCGGTGTTTAAAAATCTACGCTCACATTTTATTTTTTTGAAGTAGACCAAATCAATATCATTCCTTGAAATTTTCACGATATTTTCTCCGCACAAAGAGGGAAAATCACAGAAATTTTCAAGACTGGATGTTAAGTAGTTTTTCATTTAAAAAATAAAGTATGACAGGAAGTCTGCGACGTCGCAAACCGAGATACGTGGTTTGGTAGTTTCACCGGCGATAACCTCTACGCTACTCTGAACGCAGTTCTCTGGGACCTTTGAGCTGAAATTTTGATAGTACCTAAGTATCCCCTCGAAAACAATTCCGTGTGAAAATGGCCCGCCGAGCTAAAAATATAAATATTCGCCGCCTTAAATGCAGTGATATCACATGAAGTAGACGCCAAGCAAATTTCATGAATGTAAATTGTAAGTTTCTCCTCTCTTCAACATTAATACCGGAAAAACGAAAATTATAGAAAAAAAATAATTTAAAAAAGGGACACAAATTATCATCTTTTTTTGTAGTACAATTGCACAAAAAAAATGATAAGTTTGTATCGGTTTTTTTAAATTATTTTTTTTTGTCTATAATTTTCGTTTTTCCGGTAATAATGTTGAAGGGAGGAGAAACTTACAATTTATATTCATGAAATTTGCTTGGCGCCTACTTCATGCGATATCACTGCATTTAAGGCGGCGAATATTTATATTTTTAGCTCGGCGGGCCATTTTTTTACACGGAAGTGTTTTTGATGGGATATCACGAAGTTTTTCGTACAAATGATGACAAACAAATAAAAAAAAAAGAATGATATGATTTGCCTACATTTATTTTGTTTCCATTTTACTTAAGAGAGATTGAAAACTTTTACAGTCTTTGAATTGATGAACACTTGAAAGATATCTAATTTACCTATAAAATCAGGGCCGGATTTACCTACTAGCCGTCCATGGGCCGCCTGTATTTTGCCGCCCCCTTCTCATTTTTGCGAAAGTCAGCACTACTAACAAAAGTTCAAAGAGCTTGGCGCAAAAGTTAAGTTCCGTAAACCTATCTTTGTGTGGACAAGGCCTTCCATTTATTAGTATTGAACGAAAAAATTATGAAAGGACAAACATAAACGTGGTTTAATAATTTTAACTTCCGCCGCGCCGCGCTGACCGCACTGCATTGGGCGCAATGCGTGAAGTATTCCTGCAGTCTTGTAGGCGCTATGCGTTTCACTTTCACACCGAACGGGCGAACGCTGCTGACCACACTGTCTGACGCAATGCGTGAAGTATTCGTGCAGTCTGTAGGCGCTAATATGTGTTACATACCGACCGCCACGCCAAGGGGTTCTTCTTTTCATCTCAAGTCTTCGTCATCATTGCTCTCTGCGCCGCGCGCCGTTCCAGGCCAAATTGCGTGTTTGGTTTCTCTCTTACTCGACTAATTGAAGGCGCTGTGCTCGTGTATCACCGGAAGACGACAAAATTAGAGATTACTATACTCTCAGGAAATGAGGGATTTTGTCGCCTTTTGTAATTTGTAATTTTTTTTGGAATCCAATTATTTTTTATATCTACATTAGAAAAAATTGCAAAATTTGCCACCATGGGCTGCGGCCCATGTGGCCATCCCCTGAATCAGGCCGTGTATAAAATATAATGTAGTTTTTTAATATTTTTAAAGCAGAGTTCAACAGAGGTTCAACATTATTGTTGACTTTCAAATGATACTAGGCAAAATGTGTGTTTCACCGAATTTTGAGCTGGTTTCCTTCAATATCCTGATAGACAATAAGAACGGCTACGACGTGGTGATAGTTGTTTGGCCATGTTCATTTGGTTTAGTTGTAGCATTAGAGGAATTGGTATTTGCTGATAGCAATTGAGCAAGTTTTTTTTTCCAACTATCACCTGCTTGAGCGGTCCTAAACATGAGTGGTACGAGGGGGACCGAAGGGGGCCCACAATTCTGCTCGGCCCTCCCCAAAAAAACGTCAAGGACCCAAGCTACTGATTAGTTTTGAGGTAAAAGGCATAGAGAATGTAATAAATATGAGCCTAATCCTTATATAATCGATCAAAGAACCACAGGAAGGTATGGTAACTTTTGAAAACAAGTCAGCACAATCTCTGTCATCTGTTATATTTTTCTCCATTTAATGTGTCATTGAGAATGGCTTAAAATTGCTCTCGAGACGTTCCAATTTTCAAAAATCCGGGGTAAAATTGCTCTCGAGACGTTCCAATTGTCAAAAATCCGGGGTGAAATTGCTCTCGAGACGTTCCATTTTCAAAAATCCGGGGTGAAATTGCTCTCGAAACGTTCCAATTTTCAAACATCCGGGGGAGGCCCCCCAGACCCCCCTCCTCAGCTGAGGGAGTCCCCCCCGACCACCCTTCGCCCTAGTTCCATATCCCTGTGCCCCTCCCTCAAAAAATGTATAGTTCCGCCCATGGTCATAAGTCGACCGTTCTGTTTTGTATGTGCGTATATTATTTTGTAAAGTATGTTACATTATTATTTTATTACGAAAAGATAAGTCTTATATCTTTAGGACCCGGAGCCTTCAGCGACGTAGCTGTCTTTAAATTAGTTTTATTTTCTTTAAAGTTTGTCAATTCTTTGAAATAAAATTGAGATGTGAAAATCTGTTCCTGCTTCTTATCAAATAATTTTCTCAGTTTAATTATCACCTGTTCTTGCTTCATTTAAGACCAACAAATCATTAAAAAAGGTATTAATGGGTAATCAGCAACATGCAAGACAGGACCGGATTTACCTACTTGGTGTCCATGGGCCGCTAGTATTTTGCCGCCCCCTTTTCATTCGTTTTGAAACATCAATGAAAACCATCAAATGAACGTGCCAGCGGGGGAGGGGTGCCAGTGCATAAGACGCGTTTACTGGTGTTGAACACATTTTTTGGGAAAGCCCTGTCAACACTACTAGCAAAAGTTCACGGAACTTTGCGCGAAAGTTAAGTTTCGTAAACCTATCTCTGTGTGGACGAGGCTTTCCATTCTTAAGAAATGAACAAAAAAATTATGAAAGAACAAACATAAATGTGAATTAATGATTTTAACTTCCGCCGCCGCGCCGCGCTGACCGCACTGTGTTTGCCGCAATGCGTGAGGTATTCATGCATTCTTGTAGGCGCTATCCGTTTCACGCTGTCCGCAATGACCGCACTGTGTTGGATGCAATGCGTGAAGTATTCGTGCAGTCTTGTAGGCGCTAATATATGTTACATGCCGATCGTCGCGCCGAGGGCTTCTCCTTTTCATCTCAAGTCCTCGTCATCATTTCTCTCTCGGTAAGTCACGCCGTTCCGGGCCAAATCGCGTGTTTGGTTTCTCTCTTAACTCGACTAATTAAAGGTGCTGCCTCTTGTATCACTGAAAGAAGACAAAAGTAGAAATTACTCTACTCTCAGAAAATTAGGGATTTTGTTGCCTTTTCTCATTTGTAATTTTTTTTTCTAAATCCGATTTTTTTTTATACTTACATTTATAAAAATTGCAAAATTTGCCGCCATGGGCCGCGGCCCATGTGGCCACCCCCTTAATCCGGCCCTGATGCAAGAAAGGAAAAGAATATACTAAATTACCTACCTGGAGAGTTATTGGGTTTAATTTTTTGTTGTTGTTTGTCACTACAAAAGCAATATTGTGTATGTATTATCTGGAAAATTATGCGTTCGAAATTTTTATCACAATCAATCAAATTAAAAGAGAGATCAAGCAATTTCTCCCCTTACCTTCATTTTAATTTTCTCCAGGTTATCTTTTTGGCTCAGTCATTTGCTAAATATGTATGGATGTAATACTAATTTAAAGTTTGATTGTGTTCAAAAGTGAATTGTATTAAGACAATTTTAGGTACCTATTGTTTTAAAGGCGAATGTTATTGCTTCTAAACCACAGTATTGAATGACGCATTTGAGGCTTCAAAGTTCAAATCATCAATATAATTGAGAACCTTTGATTGACCAGGTTATATAAACGTCATGAATGCTTTTTGAATTAAAATTTTGAATGTGCGCTAAAGAAATGGCTGAAAGATGAATTAAAATCGATATTCATATCTGGAACTCTGCAGAATTATATTCTTTTCCCCCCAGAAAATCCCGGGGAAGTGGGAGAAAACTTTGATTTCTCATCAGGGAATGAGCTCCTGAAAATCAGGGGATGAGCTTGGTCAAGAAAACTGGACACCATGCTGTAGGCATAGGCAAAAGCTACAAAGAAAAGTGGGAAGGGGGCCACCGATATTTTTTTAAAAGAAATTTACACGACTTTGATTCTGCAATTTAACATGATACATATCTAAAAGTTTAAAAGAAAAGTACTCAGTCACAACTTTCCTCGAAAATAAACATTTTGGCAGAGAAAATTTGGCAACTCTCTAATACTCATAAGGCGTTTTTCTTCAGCACCGCAGGATAGGGTAGATGAGGGTGATAAAAAGTAACAAAACCAGCAAATTGATAAAGGACTAACTATATTTAAAACAGACAAGATACAGACTTTATGAAAGGGAAAAAAAAGGAAATAGGTAAACATGAAATAATAAAAATGACAGTGATTCTGCTGTTTGCAGCAAAAACGCCATGACTCCTTTCAAATGTTATAAATTCTTCCCAACAAAACGTTCTATCGTACGAAAAGCAAGAAATATTCATCTTGTAAATTTTTAAGGTGATCGTGATATACCATTAAAAACATGAAACATGATTTTGATCAAAGATTTTGCACAGACGAGGAATATGCCAGAAGGATGAATGCAAAATCTGAAATGAAGTTACAGCGTTTATACTATGGATGGTAGGATTTGCATACAAAGTGACAGTTGCAAGAATTACTTTCAAAAAGAAAATTTTTGATTAAGTCAAAGATGATGCGGAAAAAAATAATATTAACAAAATCTTGGAAGGTATTACAACCGGGGTGAACAATGCTTAGTTGATGGGAATAACAATTTTAGAGATTATTAACTGGAAACACTTTTCAATTTTTCCTCTAAAATTAATTTCTTAGGTCCCTTTTTCAGTTTCAAGTCTTCAATTCTTCCAAACCATTCAGTTCATCTACATTAATTTTAATTACTAGACTTGCAGCTGATAGCTATATAGGTTAGAGTCAGCCAATCACGCAAAGGCTTGCTGTCTCGCCACCCGCGACGTCAGCAAGTCTATATAAGCATGCGCTGTTCCTAACGCTGAGCCAACAATACGATTAATTGTGTTTTGGATATTTGTGCATCACCAACTCGCTCCATCTATTTAATACAGTGTAAAACTTTCATCTTGAACTTTATCTCTTTTTATTTCATTCTGCGTCTCCACTTAAGTATCCCATGTCATCATGGTTTGTTAGCTCTATTATAAAAGCTGACTGGTGCCGAAACGGACATTTGAATATCACTCCCTCTCATGCACTTGCAAAATAGTGCATAAAAACACTCTTATTTGTCGAAACGCACTTTACTTATTACATTAACAAAGAGAGGCGAATGCATTCATTACCTCAGAATCTGCTGGTGCTCTAAATGCTTCCGTTTTCGACAAACTGACACAATTTTCTTATTTGATTAATTTCAAAACCAAATTTCTCATTGAATTTTCGTTTCAGAAAAGTGCAAACATTTTCCTTTAGATGTCATTGCAGATCCATCATTATTATTATTTTATTTATATGATTATCCCTCACTTGTATTGTGGAGCAAAAATAGAGAAGCAGAGTGCCAATACTATGTACTATGATTTGACAGAAGTTTCAATTGTTTCCATCAGCCATTGCGTGTATCATTCATCATTTTCAATCATCTGAGGTAATTACACAAGGATACTTAAAACCAAGACAAGCTATTGACTAGCTGGTTTGTACTATTGAACAAAATCACTCGACAAAAATCATTTGAGATACATATATACAATACTACAGCAGAAATATTGGGCACTGCCACAATTTACAATTTTCTAGACTCAACCGGTACATACATAATAATGACAGTAGATATATTGAATGAGAAATTTGAGATTTGGTTAAATTGAAAAATAAACTGCCTATAAAAAGGAATTAATTTCTAAATGCGAAGAAAGATGTGTACAACCGGGCGTTTTTTCATTCCATTTCAAAAAGTTGCATCCGAATATGTTAGGATAAAAAAGTGAAAGACCCGCTTAAATTTGACAATTCATTTTGTTGAACACCTTTAAGCATGGAAAATAAAAAGAGAGCTGTTTGTATAGGAATTGGACACGGATATGGAGACACTTTTTACCAGAATTCTATGGCAAATCCAAATCAGGAAAGCTCTGTAGTTTACGGAATTACTTCCGCTTCCAACAACAAAAAATATAGTCTACTTAGAAAAATGCGCTTTCAGCCAGGATGTCTCCACATCTCAGCAATGAGTTAATTCAAACATTAAACTAACAAGAAATCACTGTAAACGCACTTTATAAAATTATAAAAACTTGATAAAATACAGACTCTTAAAAAAGGAATTAATAATTGATTCAATTCAATATGCAAGGAAAAGTATATTCACTATCCAGCTCTTCCTACGGAAAATGAACCCTAGAGAAGAGGTATTTTGTAATAAAGTCAACTGAATTTAATATTTGCTAATTTAAAAAGTAGTGTGTAATTGAATTTAAAAAAAAGCTAAAACTATAGTAAAATTTACAAAATAGGTTCATCTGTTACATGAATATATACATTATATATTCGGTGTTATTAGTGTTACTTGAAGTTCATCCCTTTAAGAGTCAATGTTGTTTCTGTTTCATCGCGCCAGGGTTCCCATTGGATCCCAGGCCGGTAAGACCTGGGGTTTCTGCTTGTTAACATCTAGAACTTCTTGAGACAGGTACTTCTTATCCACTACCAGTTCATACACGTATTCTTTGAACCAGTCTGTTGTCATAAGCAAGTATCCTTTATCTCCTGATTCGTCACCCCAAGAGTTTTCCACTCTCCATTTTGTTGGTTCACCTTGCTCCTAAAATCAAGAGTTTGAAAGATGTGAACAACTCATCTCTTCTACATTTTTATCGCCGAGACAGTGAGTAGTGAGGGACTCTTTCAAAGATGATTGGATTTCAAAAGTCCAATTTTTAAACATGAAAAAACTGATCCAATATTGAAGTAACTGTAACTTGTTAGGAAATAATTTTCACAGCATGCTCGATAGAAATGGAACAAAAAACTGTGAATTACTACTGTAGCTTTAAAATTCCACTTACTCAATAGGTTTCGAAAGAAAGTAGTTGAAAATATATCATTTGCACAAAGAAATATTTACTCTTTTTTGGCACACAGCAACATCATCTTTTTGAATGAGGAGGAACAATAGCATCTGAAGCAATGGCACTCCAAAGCACAAGAAATCTTCAAAAGGATAACATAGTTTCTCACTTGCTAGCACTAAACTTTTGTCTGTCGACGTGTTTCGACGCCTCACACTTCCGACTCACCGCGACTCACAAGAAATTTTCATTGATTGAATGAGCATGATGTTAAAAATCAACAACTGCCAACTTATAAGAGGCCCGTTCCAATGTTTTTACCAGAGATTTTAGGCAATTTTTTTTCTGATTGATAAGTAAAGCTCATGCCAAATTTTCCAGATCAGCCAGCTGCAATACTAGGATTTTAGTTCTTGAATTAATGAATTTTCTGAGGCAAATTTGATTTAAAAATATTAAAGTTGCACAAATTAACATCTAATCCGCCAATATTTACCTCTGAAAATGGTAAATTGACTATTGAAATAGTTTCCTCAGAAGAGTCCACTTTTTCAATCTTAGCACTGATAATCTTTTCCCGATGAATGATGACATAAAAGCGAAAAATGCATCTCAATCGCAACATGTAAAAATCTTCGATTATGTTTCATTTTCTTCTAGGGATATTTCTTTAAAAATGTTCCCTTGCAATTTTTTGTGATTTTTTAGAATATACAAAAGAAAGTTTACGGAAATTTTTTCAGTAGAATCTACTGATTAGTTTTCCTTTTAAAAGATGAGATATGAGCTAAGACTTGCAATGTTACAATCTAAGTTAAGCATTTTTCAACTTCGATAACAATATAAAACGATGATCTGAGCGTTAGAAATTACTTACATTGACATGAACTCCTGTAAGGACCATAGCGTGGGTCATGGCAGACTCTCCATACGTCATTCTATCGGCCTTTGTCATTGGAGTGCTAACAGTAGTATTGAAGACAGACGTGTAGTCGATACTGTTATTAATAGAAAATAAGAAATATATTATCAGTAAAATTACAAGAAAATATGCTGTTAGAGCTAATAGACAGGTAATGTAGTGTATTGCAAAAGTACCTTGCAATGAGACCACAATGAGGGGAGATTAGCTTTTAATTACAAATTTTACTACTAACATTAAAAAAGCTTTGATACTGTGCTATGTCTAGCATTAGATTCTGTATAAGCACTGCACTCAATGGTGGATCATTTTGATAGATTTAATAAAAAAAAAAAAATAAATAAAAAAAAAAAATCTACTTAGGAAAGAGAGAAAAAAAACTCCATCAATTCACATTTTTAAAGTTTTGAATAATAGACTGCTCTAGGTACCGTAAACTTTCTTAAAAGTTTGCTTATAATGCAAGGTGAGAAATTACCATCATTTTTAAATTAAATTAAACTGCTTAAAATCATCGCAAAAATTTCAAAAATAAGTCAGTTTCAAAACTTCTGAAGCCCTATTTTATGAAATTTGGACTTCTCGTGGCACACTGAATATTTGAGAGGACAAAAATGTTAAGAGAAGTATAATAACTTGAGCAAGAGAGAACGCTTGGGGACAATACATAAGATTCTTCCAAGGGAGGAACAGACAGTTTGTTTCACTTACATGTCTAGATCTTCAAAGCCTAACTTCCTGGTGAATTTCTTTCCAACATCGCAACCATACCAGACGGGTTCATTGTTCTTGATTGACTGTACGGCAGCGTTCATAAGAACTTCTATGGGTTGGTTGTTGTAGACCACTGGACGCCCACCGACCATATTGCTTAAACAGTCTACAGTTAGTGCCTTGCCATAGCCACTCGTTTCTCTCGGATCATTCACTATGCAAATCTGTAAGAAATATTCACAGACATTGATTAGTTTCGACTCATCATCAGAGTTGACAGGGTTTTCATAATTTTTCATTTTCCAATTCTCTCAATATAGGTATTTGCTTTTCCCGGACTCTAATATATCCGAATTTGTTTACTTTTTATTGACTTTTACCTTCTATCAGAATCTTTACTGACATGTTTTCCTTTTGACTATGCTGAATTTTGCTAGACTGTGGAAACAATTTTCCACTTCTACTGATTCTAATTAAGAGGAAAAACAAAAAAGTTTTTCACGCTGTCTCGAATGGATGGAGATACGTTGTTTCACACTTGGCCATAGATCTTTGGCGACTGATGTGCTTCAGAGCTTATTGTCTCTCCATGCGGGCTGATGATGATGATGAATTTATTATTGAAAGTACAGGTCCAATACACTATACAAACTTGACAATTGAAACTAGAATGCTACTCAATTCACCTGCCTTGTGATTCAAAGTAATAAAAATACTAGGATAGCTAGTTATTAGATAATGAGATTAAAACATAAAATAGGAGACAACGAAAGTGTTCCAGAGTCATAAGGACTGATAGACTTGAAGAAATAATGGCAGGACCAATTCCGCACAATATAAGCTGAGAGCGTATGATTTTTTAATTAACCAGAATTTCCTTCCGAATAAAATTCATGGGTATTTGAGGGACATCTATTTTCTAATAAAATAATGTTCTTTTATGTGCAGTATCCTATTTAGTGATGCGGAGCTGATTTACCTTATCCTCCATGTTGAAAATTGGTTTGATTTTCTCCTGATAGAATTGGAGAGGAGTGATTGGTCCGATGGAGTGGTATTGCTTGTTTTTGTCGTAATATTCCCACGTGAATGTCTCCGGTGGGATGCCCAGGCAAATTCCAATAATACGGTAAAGAACTGCCATCTGTGACTCGATTTTTTTCGGGATTTCTTCATGATTACCTTGTGACGCGAGGTTGTACAGCTCAGACGAGTATTCCCGCAACTGAAAAGAGGATTATATGTAAACAATAAATACATGAAAGAATATTAATTGGTCCTTTGGTTTTTTCTTGAGGCTCTTTAGTTTTCTGCTTTTCTCCAAATATTTTCCGCTTAGTACGGTATTTAACAGGGTTGCCACATAATACAGAAAATGAAAGTCCCTCCCATTTCGCTGATTTCTCAGTCACGTATTGGTACAATTCCCTGACAATTTGACTACATTTTGCAATTTGAAACTTCAATTTTTGGCTCAGTTTAGAAACAATGTATGTGCCTTTAGTTCTTCTCAGCACATGAGTGTTATCACAGATGAGTCAGAATTGTAGTTTCTGATTAGAAGATAAAGTTCACATATAGATATACGAGATGGTTAAAAAGACTTAATTTGAAATTCTTTTCACGCAAAATTTGTTGTACAAAACGTCAAACCCATTCTAAAAAGTGACTAAAGGTGACTTGACAGTCTTTCCCTGACAATTCCAGGTTTTTCCTGACTTTTTAAAATTCTCTGAAATTTCCCGGTATTCCCTGACTGTGACAACCCTGATTTAATTTACTATACTGATTTATATTGTGGGTATGTACTTCCTATTATTTTTACTGGTTGTATTGCCCTTCTCCTATGTGTATTTTTCGATTCTTTGAAAGTGTATTTGGCACCTTGAAGCCACATCTCAAATAATAACAATAGCATAAAATGCTGTATTGGGAATAATGCTAATTTATTGACAATATCAGAGGTGCTGATTAAAATACTGATTTCAATTCCTGGTGGAAATATACATTTTATTTCCAACAAAATTTGCTCTATTTGTTAACAAGACTTAATTTAATTCTGATGGTGCTGTTTTTGGATGAAAAAGAGGAGTAATATTCAAGGCGTAACAGATCTTAAAAATAAGCAATAAATGAAATTGTCTCTTCCTTAAAAACCCATCATGTCCATTTCCTGATAATTCTTGTAATCTGTATGGCTCTTCAGAGGTTACAGCTCATCAGGAGCCGAGCCCGAGCAAAAGGGATTTTTGTTTACCTGGAAAATGTGAGACCATTTAGCATAATTTGAGATTATCATGATTTATTACACTTAAATAAATTTGGACAAGGATGGGCGATTAGCAGGGATTAATTTACGTTTCTGTTTCCTACTGATGAAATGTTCAATTATCACTTATTATATGAGGACTTTACAAGTAACAATAGCGGTCGCTGACATCTGCCATCTTTAGGGAAAACGCTTTCTTTGAATTCTGGAGCCCTTAAGAATGCCTATGCAAAGTTTCAGACTTCCAGCGCAATTTTTCGGCGAGATATGAACTGAGAACTATGTTATTTGTAAAAATAGCGGATATGAGAATCCACTGTTCTCTCCGGCCGGCACGGCAAGACACTGTGGAGATTCAAACGCACTTGTGATTACTGCCTGCGCACCAGCCATGGGCTGCAGCTGACACTGAAATGATAAGTATAGAGACCGTTTCGCCAGAATTGTTGATTTTATAGCTGATTTTATAATTTGTTCCTTATTTTTGTTGTACCTAGAAGTTACATACGATTTAGTTTTTTGTTCAATTGTATTAAATGACTCACAAGGGGAGTCTACGAAGTGACATCCTGGGATTGGGTTCATTTTGCTTGAACATGAAGAAGAGACAAATCTAAGGTTGGCGTATTTTTTTTAGCCGCCAACTCCCAACCGTTCTCGAGATATCGATTTTTAAAGTTACGATTTTTGCACGTTTCAGCACGGTGTGCCGGCGAGTCAACTGAGCGCTGGCAAGACGCACAAAGCATCCGCCCTATGAGCGCCGGTCGAGATGAATATGAACCGACTTGACCGGCCAATGCTATCAGCTGATCTGTGGCCGAGCGGTAGAGTGTTCGCCTACCACTCCGAAGATCACGGGTTCAAGTCCCGCTACATGATATTGCTTTTAAGCTATGCCGCAAGGCTTTTATACAAGTTTTGTTTGTTTTTATCACACACCAGGGGGTCCGCCCCCGTACCGCTACGCAGCCCAACCTACGGGGCGAAAAGGCCCGCTTCTCCGCAAGCAAAATCATCGAAATTGACCGTTGACGGTTACTGAGCAAATAATTTTAATTGAATGACAAAATGATGTTTCAAATAAAAATTTCCCACCACACAATATTCTTAATGACTTTCTCCTTACTCTGAATTTGCAACCGCCAACAGTCAATTTTGATGATTTCCCTTGCCACGAAGCGGGCCTTTTTGCCCCGGGGTTGGGCCGCGTAGCGGTCAGGGGGCGGACCCCCTGGTGTGTGATAAAAACAAACAAAACTTGTAAAAGAGCCTTGCGGCGTAGCTTAAAAGAAATATCATGTAGCGGGACTCGAACCCAAGATCATCGGAGTGGTAGACGGACACTCTACCGCTCGGCCACGGTTTAAGTCGCTTCATATTCATCTCGACCGGCGCTCATAGGGAGGACGTTTCGTGCGGCTTGTTGGCACTCAGTTGACTCACCGGCACACCGCGCGGAAACATGCAAAAATCATAACTTTAAAAATCGATATCTTGAGAATGGTTGGGAGTTGGCGGCTAAAAAAATACACGAACCTTAGATTTGTCTCTTCGTGTACAAGCAAAATGAACCCAATCCCAGGATGTCACTTTGTAGACTCCCCTTGTTAGCATTGACTTACTTTTAGTTCATTCCAATCGTTTCATCAGCCTTGCCCTTCCTGACGATTTTGTTTCATGGGTAAACAAATGTTCTCAGTAAAAATAGCGGATGTCACATTTTTTTCAAATCGCTGTTACTCCTACAATTTGTCACTAACATATATGTAAAATGCGTGTTTTTGTACAGGAACAGTTGCTTTTCATGAACATCTTTATAAGAATCCTCTCATTTCCACAGGTGGCAAAGTGCAAAGCTTTGAAAACTTCAAACGCGATTTTCTTACAATGTGAAAACTTGACATCCGCTATTGTTACATATAAGTCCTCATGTGCTGTTGACATGACACATAAAAGTAACTCAACGATACTAATGAAGATTTGAAATTTGTTTTCATTCATTTAATTTTAAAAAATCTGGCCTTCAGTTTCTCTGATCTGTCCTCTCAAAGTTTGAGTTACTAACAAAATAAATGGACACATACTTTGCTTTTGAGGATGGCGTTAAGCTGAGCACTGGCTTCGCTGCTATAAGATTCTGGAAATACTTTCTTCGGCATCAGTCCATGTTTTGTGATTAAATTAACCAGCATGTCCCACTGACCTCCATCTCCGATGGGATCCTGCAAATGTGTAAAAATTGTAATACTTAGTATGACAATTAATATACAACCTGATGATAATCTTCGAACGTTTTAAGGTAAAAGAAAAAAAAAAAACTTTGAGATTACTGAATAAAATTATATGTGCCTGCGTTATGAGCTATGAAATAATTAATTTTACTGGGAGATAAAAATTATGAGTAATCTTTAGGTCCTCATGAAGTAACATTTGGAGGCTTAAAGAGCCTAGTGCACTGCACATTTGACCACCCGATTATTAAATTGAAACACAAGGAAAGTGGCATGGCTGCCGAGGAAATTTACTGATTACGTTGACACTGAGACTGTTAACAGGTCACAGCAAAAAAATTGTTCGAAGACCAACATACCGAAAATAAGAATGAGAGGAGCCGGCCATCCTTCTTCTCTCCACGATTTGCCACTTCAACAATTGTATTCAGGTAGTTGTGACATCTCTCCACCTGGCAACACAAAATTAAATTACATTATGGTAAAAAGAGAACAAAGTTTCAAAAATGGGTGAGTGAGAATGTAACTACATGCTACACGAATTTGTTGATTTCCGTGATGTTTAACAGGGGTCGATAATCTTCCACGTTTTGCGGATCGTACAAAAACTTGGAAAACCTGCAAAATCTTGATGAGTTGCAAAAAAATAAAAAAAAACCACAATAGGTATTTCTGCAGAATTATGATTTTTTCCCACACTTATTTTGCAAAACCGGAAAAATATAATACAATGGCCATCAGACAAATCAGCATTCTTACTTTCACTCATATTTCAAAAAAAGAAAAAGGCATAATTTTTCTTGGAAGGTGCTTAACCCCGATCAAGCAATTTTTGGAAAGCTAGGAGGATTATTGACTTCTGATGTTTAAACTTAAATGAGCTGAAATTTAAAAAGTAACTCATTTCTATTAATGAAATTTGTTGAAAATAAAAACAAATCCTTTAATTGAGGATACACTCATAGTTTTGATTTTCCCCTCAGAAAGATGAATTTTAAATTTATAACCTCCATAAAGAGGTTAAAAAACTATGACAAGAGCAATGTTTAGTGCAATTGTAGATAATTTTTATCAAGCCAAAAGACTCTTTCATACAGGGATACATAGTTTAGCCTCGTTTACAAGTGTCCTGCAGAAGCCTCCTTCTCAATCTTATCAAAATATTATTCTTAAAAAAAAAGGCAAAATTTTCCAATAGACCTGAGAGGAGAGTCATTGAAAACTCAAATTGAGAGTTATTACCTTATCCCAGAAGAAGAGATACGATTGGCTGAACTCAAATTCTTCTATGTTGAATTGTTTTACAACAGGCACTCTGATCGTGTTCAGACAGGCAAAAAGCCAACACCGTCCAGTACTTTTTTGATTTGTTACCGGTTTTCCTTCACCTTCAATCTGGTGAGAAGAATGAAAATTAAAAACAGCTGGAAAAAAAATTAGTCGGCAAGAATAGTTCGGAATAAAACTTTAGAGAAGTTCTTGATGGCTTCTTTGACAGCAATTAACCTAACATCAGAGGGACCTTAGGTTCCTTTCAATGGTGCTTTATCTAGTTTGGTCTCTTTCAACCCTTACATGTGGCTACATGTCTCCGTCTAAAATCCAAATTTTGGCATTAAGATGGACTAACAATAAGCTGGATATTTTCATTGGTGTATCCAATAAAACTGCACAAGTTCATGTCTGTAGAATGATTTGAAAAGTTCGAGAAGCCATAAGTACGGTCCTCTATTCTATGTCTGTTTCTGTGTTTTTAAATAGATGGGGTGATGTAATTCCATACCACCCCTATGGCCCCTACGGTTCTTGCCCTTTTTTGAAGTGGTCCCCTTAGAAGGTACATGGCCCAAAACGGTCATTTCCTTCGACTGAGGAGCACTCACAAAATTCCATGACTTTAGGGTCTTCAAACTGTTCAATTGTTGTCAATTTCTTCAAAAGTTACTGAGTTGATGATAAGGGACTTTTGGATCACCCTGTATGATAAAGTTAAATGGTCCAGCATTTAAGGTATTTTAGGAATAATTTTCAATTCAAAGGTAGTTATGTATTTTTGAGATCTAAAATGTTTTTGTTGTTGTTATTGTAATTGAATTTGCTCCTGATTCATATATCTATGGTGAAACTGCAGAAATGCGTATATAGGTTTGCGGCATTGCAGACTTCCGGCTATCATTTATTTTTTAGTTGGAAAACCACTAAATGTCGTTTCTTGGAAACTTCGGTGATTTTTCTTTTCTATGTGAAGAATATTCTGTGATAATTTCAAGCCATGATGATGGTTCGGTTTCCTTTTAAAACTCATAATAGGACCAGCGAGTTTGAAACCCCGTAACGAAGCATGCATTTTTGCAGTTTCACCAGCGATATGAGTATTCTCCCAGTGTAAAACATGAGGGTTTCTCATGGCCCCCCTTACCGCTAGTATTCAATATTTTCAGTTGCAACATTCAGGTTCAAAACCTAGTTTCATAGATCATGACCAAACAACCTTTGATCATAAACTGCTATTTTTAATGTTTATATCTGGACTGCTTTTGCAATTTGGAACTATAAATTCTGGCTCTTCGGCAAAAACAGTTATGTGCATAGGGAAACTGATGGCACATACTTACATTGTTTTTAAACCGGGCTAGAATTTATAGTTCCAAATTGCAAAATACAGTCCAACTGTGCTTTCCTAGTTTTTCCATCATTACACCTAGGGAACTCTGTGAAGCTAATTTAAAAAAGAAAAAACCTCAATGCTTCTAAAATCGGGGTGTTCAGATCAAAACTAGACACAGGCACTATTTGTATAGTCTAACAAGTGCTACTGAGAGTAAAAATTGTAATTGATGCTGGTAGTTGTGGACAGTGATGATGCAAGAAGGTTCTGGTGTCAATTATGGGTAATTTTGTCATTATTCATCGTAGAGCGCACATTTCCACTGATATAGGTGTCGGAAATTTGGGACTAAGAGAGCATTACAACCGAATCAATTCTTATTTTGTTGATGAGGTGACGAACCTTGTGGTTGAATACATGCACCAATTCTTGCTGCTTCCTCCGTGAGATGCACAGGTTGTTAACTTCAACTCTGGAGAGAGCATTTTGCGCGAGAATATTCTTCGGACAAGAATAAAATTCTTCCCGCAAATTTTTCAGCTGCTCCGATGATAAGGGAGCTGAAAAAAAAAACAATATTAATTATTTGATTATAGGTTCATGAGATGCACCTACTACATTTGAAAAAGTAGAGATACAGCGAGGAGAAAAAAGTTGAATACAGATACCTAGGTATTGATTAAATAGGGACAGAAATTTGATACATTTCTGGAAATCTTTTAGCCTTATGGAGGACTGGATACACTGGATGGGTCTTTCAGTATGTTCATTATAAACAAATTGCTAGATTTCAGATTTACTGATCCTTCCTCGTAACGCTTTTATGTCGTAGGCAGGTCCCTATCCTTTAACATGTAAAAACAAAACAGTGTAATACTCTTCTTGATCCCCTGAAAGAGAGCATGACATATTCTATGATAGGTTCTTATCCATAAGGAGCAATTTCAGAGATTTTTTTTCCCTCCTCTGGTAGGCACCAGGTCTTCACAGAATTTTTGAAGTGTTGTGAAAAATTTTTAATTACAGAGGTGGGTTGTTTTTAAACCGATTGACATTCATTGAAGTAAACTTATGGAAGGAACAAAAATTCTTACGAGGAGTTATAAAGGAGAATTAAAAGTTGCGCCTGACTGAAAAAAATATGTCTGCAGTTACTTAAATAGGTTTTTGATACTGTGTGGAGATCAACCCCAGAACCTGCAATCTAGGAGGAAATGGAGCAAATTTTCTCAGATAGAGACAAGAACTTCTGTGGCAAAATGCTGCAGAGCATGCAGACAAAAGCCATTGTTACAAGGTTCAAAACCCTTGCTAGATTTTCAGAATTTGACCTTCCATGGAAGACTCTCCAAAAATTAATTTGCAAGACATAGGTACTCCAAAAAAATTATTTACTAAGGGAGAAATGAATCATCTCAGAGCCCCCCCCCCCCCNAAAAATCCGTATTATATATTGCTCAATACTGCTATTAGTCTCTCCCTTTTATTGTAGAAAAAGTTTGTAGCAATGCTGATGCTTGTCCTACTTTTCTTGACTAGGTATTTGGGTATATATATATATATATATATAAAATAAATTTTAAAAAAAATAAAAAAAAAAAACAGAACTGGACGCATGCCAATCAAGGACCTTCTTGAGGGATGAAATATGTGATTCTCAAAACTGAGTTGTAAAAGTCTCCCTGACGCAAAGTCTCATTATGTAAAAAAAATTGATGATACAGACAGGCAGAACTGACCTAAGTGTCTGATCTCTGAGAAAAAACGAAGTCTCCTTAAAGCGTTAGACTGAAGTGGAGTTATGAGATTAGTACTAGAACTTAAACGAATCATTTGAGAGAAGAAAGCCATTCCTGCTCTTAATCTGACATCGTTAATGCATAATTTGGATGGAGGAGTTAACTTGCCTAACATCTTCAAAAATAAATATCTGACAGGAAAAAAGAAAAAGAAAAATTAAGCTTAAAAAATAAATAAACAAGATCAAACAACAAGCCTTCCTTCAAGTATTTAATGCTGGGTAAATTCCTTATCACATTTTAAAATGTCAATACCTAGTACTCAAATCACTTGAGTGATTCATTGAATGCTGTGGAGGAGTTATAGATTTGATTGGCATTATCAACTTCATATATCTCCAGATAAATTAATGCAACATTTGAGCGTTCAGGACAAACCATTTAAACAGAGACTTGCAATGCAAACATTCTGTTGGGAATATTCCGTCAGGCATTGATAACTAATTTAAGCCACTGATACAAATGAAAGCAATATAGGTCATTAAAAATATGCAGTAACCACGTTCCTGTCAGATGCTTGTTCATGCTAACGACCTACGGGAACAGAAACATTGGGCAGCATGCTGATTACCGCAGACATGTTTTAATTTATTAAATATATCGATAGCTTGCATGCAAAACCACATACCTCCATTGCGTTGTTTCAAAATTTTTGCTCTTATTTTATTTTTTTTTTGAAGATAGACAAGCTAACTTCTGATCTTGTAATATAACATTCAGCTAGTAGAGAGTAAAAATCAAGGTATTAAAGAAATTATGATGAATAATTTTTCTCAGAAAATGTTAAATATGAGAGGAAGTCTACAACGTCAAAAAACAAAGTTACGTGGTTTTGCACTGTGGCCATCAATAAAAACGGGGCTAAGATGAATTGAGTAGAGAGTCCTTGCGGTAATTGAATAGGTACTGCTGAAAGAGGAGAGAACTGAATTTAACAATTGGTGAACGAGCTTAATATTCAAAATTGCTAATACACCTGCCACTCGTTTGACTTAGAGATGGATCTTGACACTGTAAAAATGTTTCGACAAATTCAAATCCAGTGATCTCTTTGTCATGTAGCTTTCCTTTGTTATACCTCCTTGTACACACGATGAATTTCAGTTCAATTTCCACAGGGTGGAACAAAGGGTACAAGCAACTTATGAGACAAAAGAGAATAGAGGGAAGCAGATGCATAAAAGGAAAATTTTCTTCCTATCGTAAATCAGTGGGCAATCAAGAAACAAGAACTGATGGATACATAGAAATTTGAAGATCTTCACACAAAAAATTAGTGTACGCAAAACTCTTTCACCCCATAAAAACACACATAAGTTAATAAAGGTCAGAATATTAGAGAAAGTAGTTAGAGAAAGTAGTAAGGAGAGGGCACCAAATTAAAATCTACTCATTTATCTCAGAAGAAAGTAAAACCGATCCTGATCAAGATCATGAGGGTCCAAATGAAAAATCATCGGATGTTCGTAATCTCTTATCAGGGTTGCTTGGCCTACCGTTCACATCAACATTTCCATATGATGTTCCGACAAGAGGATTACTCAGGGTAGACCCACAAGTGAATGTTCAGTAGCTCTTTAAGAGAAGGAAAATGTAAAGTGCAAACAAATTTAGAATAGGGGCACAACTAGATGAGAGAGGATGGTGAGAAAGTCCTACTTCGTTTTTCAACGGGAATAAATCAGACGGAAAGTAAAATCTTCACTGAAAAATTATGAGAATACTTACAAGAAGCCATGTGTTAAATTACAGAGAGATTTAGGGCGAGAGAGGAAGAAAGAAATCCAAGGAATCCAAATTAAGACGAGGCCGAAAAAAAGAAAGCGATCAAAATGACGATTACGATTGCATTGCAATTTTCGGAATTCGGAGGTGTTCGGGGGCGACAAACAATAAGGCAACCACAGCAAACTGTAGAAGGGGTACCCGTATAAGAATCATATGTTTTAATCGGTGTACGCTGTATGCAACCAGCAGTATGTTTTAGATCATCGATTACATAAATTTCAGGCGCTACGAGAGATTCAGAAGTAATGTGCTTTAAAAATTAATCACGTATTCATTCATGCAATTGAAAGAGATCGAGAGCTTTCTGGTGAACAAATGATTTTATCATTGCCCAAAGAGCTGTACAGCCTCCTGGCTTTGAAATTGTCATTTCAATGTCAAACAGGACAACTCCAAACATACCTCAGGTCGAGCCACTTGACTCTAAAATGGTCGCTTCCTCTGTGAGATTTTTAAATCTAATCTACGTAAACCCTGTTGCCTAGTCTTCAATCCAAAATCCTGTACTCTTTTTTTCGCATAATCAAAATTTTTAATGACTCTTTTAATTTCGGCAATTATCTAATCAAAATTTCCAAAAGGGTATTTTCCGAGCTTGTTTTGTTTCGCCGCGCCATCGAAGAAGCCCCGCGGTTACCCGCAGTCTTCAAAATACATAATTTTGAGGTAGAAGTTGACAACCGTGGTATTAGTTCCAACGAAACATCATCAACTTTCAACTTTGCAGCAGTCAGCTTTTATTTATCTTTATCAGTTATAGCTTCTGACCGTGCCAATTTTTTGGCTCTTTTTTCTTTCTGTTGTTAACAGGATACTTTTCGCCTCAAAATGCAGGACGACTCCTCAGATAATTTGTGTATCGTTTGCTGTAAAAGTGTTCAATACTATTCCATAGGAGAATGCGACCATCCCGTGTGTTTCGAGTGTTCCACTCGCATGCGAGTCTTGTACGAGCAGAAGGAATGTCCCATATGCAGACAGATCATGCCCTTAGTAAGTGAAGAACACCTTTAAATTTTTCTCATAATAGCTGCTCTCATAACATCACATCTGCCACTAGGATGACAGTTGAAAGCGTTAACCTAGCTTATTGCCTATCGTGTCAAGGATAACTGCTTGAGGTTGGTCAATGCTCCTGTGCCTTTCCTCCGAAATTGCGCATTAAAGTGATCATATCACTTAACCGGAAGGTGTACCGTTTCTTGACATTATGTACTTACCCTTCATATCACTTTTGACTACCATAACCTTAAAAATTAACCTGACCTGGACAACTTTTGTTTTATCTGCGGTTAGCTTAATGGGGCACACTGATCATAACCTCTTGTCTTGATCGTAACTGAAAGAACTTTAGTCTTAAAAATTTGGTCTGATGACGTGCACCTGATTCGCCTTAATTGTGAGGACGGATACAGGCAGCTGACTGTAATTTGGTCTAGATGCAGGGCATCTTCGATGGCCTTCATTTAGTATATCTGCGTATTTTCCACTTAACTTACACCTGCTGCAGTCTTAGAGTATTGTGGATTTAGTGCTGAATCTTACATTAATGGACTAAACCTACAAAGCAATGACGTCTGAATTGGATCATGTTGCCACAGAATTGCTGTCAATTACAATCTGTACTATGCTAGTAATGAGCAGTTAGTCCTGTAACAACATGGTTTAGTTTCCTTTTATCCAAAAAATTACCCCCTCAACGGTAGTGGCAAGGCACTTATGAAAGCAATCTGTTATTTTGCCACCGAAGATTAGCTACGAGCACAGATTCCCTTCACAAAACTTGTACACTTCTTTACTGATTTTCTCCCCTCACTTCTTTCTTTGGTTTTTTTTTGCAGGTAATTTTTACAGAAAAAGTGAAACCGTTCAAGGAAATCAATCACAATGATTTCCATTTTGATGACTCAGCCAAAATTTCTTTTGAAAATGCGGATATTATGAAGGCTTATTATGACCTTCAGACCATCAAGTGTCCGAAGTGTCGATCATCAAACCAAACTGCTTTCATGGACTTCAAAGCACTTCAAGCTCATGTGAAGGAAGAACATAACCATACTTACTGTGATCTATGTGTGAAACATTTAAAGGTATTTATAGCAACCGTTATTTATCCTCTTTGCTCACTGATTTGGTCCCTAAATGATTATCTAGTTTTTAAAGGCTCTCAGAACTTCCCCTGAAAAATATTCTTGTTCAAAGTTACAAAGCTTGTGGGTAAAATAGTAAAATCTTATTCTTGTGGCATTTTCTCCATCATTTTTATTCTGAACAATCAAAGACCGTTCTCTTTAAACAGATCCCCAATGTTGGATTTCACATGCTAATCCAACAAGGCTCGTGGATTTTCTCTGGTTGTAAAATCATCAACTAGCTGTCTCTTTCAATCACTGTACAGCAGTACAATTGTGGAACAGTAAACAATTTTAAAACTTAAGTAAAAATTTTCTCCATAAAATTTCTCAAGCTGCTGATGACTTATCCGAAAAATTTGTGTGTTGACTTCCTCATGAAAAATTTTGAATATCACAATGACGTATTTGCTGTTACTGTGGCTAGGGACAGGGAACTGTATTCAGTGCCTATTATCAACTCATTCCACTAAGCTTATTCTCTTTTTTTCAGATTTTTCCGTTTGAACGGAGAGCCTACTCCAAATCAGAGCTTATAACGCACAACAAGCAAGGTGATAGAAACGATAGATCTCATAAGGGCCATGCTCTCTGTCAATTTTGTAATGAGCGATTCTTCGATGTAGATCTCCTCTACCGACATCTTCGCAAGGACCACCTATTCTGCCATTTTTGTGATGCTGATGGACAAAACAAATTTTATAGGTATGTCGTAGTATGAGCTTGTTTCTTTCACCATTTCTTACACTTATTTTTTCTTCCTTTTTACTCTGTTTTGAGCTACAGCAATGGAAATTCCATGAATTATAATGGCAGAGTTGGTTCTAGAGAAGGTGATTAGAGAGGCAAGCCAGTCAGCTCTCTATGAAATCTGCTTGGGAATGTGACTGGCGCAGGCAGAATGAGAGAGGAAGATCTAAAGAGTTTCAGCCGCAAAGTGAGCAGGTTGTTGCAGTTGATGCATGTGATTGGTAGGGGCGTTACAAAGCTATAATACAATTTACCCTGTCCTGAATTTCCCAATATTATCTCTTCAGAGTCTAGTCTAAAAAGTTGAATTGCCTATTTGAGGAACAAAATAAAGTATTTCAAGTAAATAAAGGCACAAATCTGTTTTTCTGCCTCAATTCTAAGAGACCAGGATATAACATCGATAAAATTAAAGGTCACTAAACTACCATCAGACCCTTTTGGTGAAGAAGTCTCGACAATGAATGGCTTTTTGGCAAAAAGTCTCGGTGATCAATGACTTTGGTGCTGAAACTCTGTACAATTAATGATGACCTCTTTGAGGAACAGGCTCTTTAGGGAGGCTGGTTACCTTTTTGTGAGAAGTCTAAAACCAATTACTGCTTGAAAAAAAAAAGGAATTGATAACTGGGACCGAGTTTCTTCTTTCTCCAAGCATGAAAGAGGAAAGCACCGAAGTCTGACCGCTTGGTCTTCACTGACCTCTATAAGTTGACCAGTAACTTGAATGTAAGCAAAAACTTCAGAGCTGTGTATCGCTTGGTTTATTGTGAATAGGCGGCAAGAAAAGTAAATGGGACAATGTATTCAAATACACAATACAATTTTGATGGCCAAAGTACGAAACCTTATATCTCCATTTGCAATGTTACAGATTTTCCATCATACTTATTTTTGCTCTGGAAGACTAGTCAACGTAATTACTTGAAAACTTCCTTGATTTTTCTCTTGGTTAGCAGAATATTTTGTGTGTATTTCAAGCCCTAAAGGTGACTTTTTTCTCTTTGAAAAAATAAAATAGGAGATGAAATTTTAAAACGCTGCACTGGAGATACGTTGCTCCGCATTTTGGCCATCAATTTTTCATCAAAATAAAATAACTTTCTGGCAGCCTGGTAGAATAGACAGAAACAATAGGAGACAAGAAAAGACGAGATCAGAGGATGAATTTTTGATATCTTCAATAATAATTCCATCCCATTTCCCTCCCAATTTTTGAGCAATTATCATTTTGAAAAAAAATAAAAAAAAACTGTTTATTTTCTCACCGAGAATTTTTAATTTGTTTGCAGCGAATATAGGTACTTACGGGATCATTTCCAAAAGAGGCATTATCTTTGTGAAGAAGGGGACTGTCGAAACGAGCAATTCACCAATGCTTTTAGAACCGACATTGATCTGAAAGGTATTTTTTCTGATGACATCATAACTCATGAGAAGAAAATTATTTTTATTTGCAACAATGAACTTTGTCCGTTATTAAGTATGTAGAATCTGTGAAGAAGTGAATAACAAAAAGGTTTCAAACCACATCAAGAAAAAACAGAATTCTCTTTGAAACAGACAGGATATCTGTCATGATAATTTTAATTTTTGCTGAAGTCCAAAAGAAAAACCAAGAGCGGAATCCAATTCAGCAAATATTCACAGAAAAATTCCATACAGGGTTGCCAGCGACCGGGAAAAGTCAGGGAAAAAAAATCAACCGGGAAAAGTCAGCGAAAGTCAGGGAATTTCGGTGTTGGTCAGGGATTTTTCTGATTTTTCATGGAATTAGGCGCGGGCGGTCCGGGGCTCGCGTTGCGGTTAAAGTTTAACGCGTTTCACTTTAACAGACTGCGTCAGATCCATACTTAAAAGTCAGGGAAAAATATTGGAAAGTCAGGGAAAAGTCAGGGAATGGAAAAAAATAATTTGGCTGGCAACCCTGTCCATAGAACCAAGTGGAGTTTTTCTTAAAAAAAAGAGAAGAAAAAAAAAACGGGCAGCCTTGCTCATTTTTAACTTTAAAGTTTTAGGAGTGTTAAAAGCTCCAAAATGCTGTATGTTAAGTACACTCAGGCTTATTTTTCAATGCTTTCAGGGTTAGAGATCTTATGATTATGAACATAGTGATAAATACATGTTTAATAACTGTTCCGAGCCATATGTACCATACACTTAACCATATATTTAATATCCGATCCCAACACTGAGTTTGTCACTTAATATTTTGCTAATGGGATGATCATGAACAATTTTGTTCAACACATAACTTTCTACAGTAAATGCAGGTTAGTAACCAGATTTCACAGTGTTTTAAATCAAACCCTGTATTGCAGTCTAATAGTAATTTTGCTTTTTCAGCTCACAAAGTTAACACTCACGGCAAAAATTTGGGAAAGCAAGCTTACCGTGAAGCGCGTATCGTAGACCTTCAGTTGAATTACAAACCGAGGAGTGACAACAGAAACCGTTCTGCACCTCACTCATCTAGGTAGGCACTTACATAAAAATTACGTTAAAGGAAAAGTATTGTTTTATCAGCTTTTTCCATTTTAAAGTGTAGAAAAACTGCTCTGTTCAAAGTTACAAAAGAATCCTGAGTTTACCTCTCCTATCGTTTGCGGGCAGTTTTTCCGATACTGATTGGATATCCGTCTACAGACAAATTTGTATTTCCTCTATTTTTGGCGAGGAACAAGACAATTTTTCTTGGAGCTGTGGAAAGTTTTTGCTTCCTTTTTGGGATTGAAAAAATGTCTGATGTTTAACGTTCAGCGCCTTTGTTATGAGCACAGCCCCTCAGCACAGTATTTCCCTTCCAGTAATATGTTGAGCTCCAGGAAAAGGCTGTAACTTTCTGTCCCTTCTGCTCAGCAGTCAATGTTTTGAAATTTAAAAAAACAAAAATTCAAAATATTATTACTTATTTGTGCCAATTGATTCTATTAATATGGATGCATTTTGCTCTGCTCAGAATAACATCGTCATTGCGTCTCAGCAAAATGCGTCTGCATCAATAGAATCAATTAGCGCAAGTGATTAATAGTTTTTTAAAAAATGTTAAATTTTCATTGTATCCTTGTGCAGCCTCCAAAGGCGATTTATGCTTTTATTTGTTGACAAGTCAATGATTGTTTGACATTTCCGTCCTGCACAACAATCTAATTGAGGTTTTGTGAATTATTTTCTTCTGTCTGACATCTTTTCGTTGAGACTCTGAGATTTTTGACTTAAATGAATCTCCAAAGAGGATCACAATATTCTTATACCTGAAGGAATATTTCCTCTCAGCTGCAAAATTTTATTTTAACTTTAAACGATTCTTACTAATTTAGAACAGGGTCATTCATTGTTGCTCCTCTGACGTAAGAGCGTATCTTGATTTCAAAATGAGCCCAAGAAAGTATAGGCTTATATGTACAACAGGGCTGACGTAAAAATGGAGATATGCCCTTACGTCAGAGGGGCAACCATATAATCCAAACAGATGAATAATGTTGAGTGGCTCGTATAGTCAGGAACTACTCAGTAATTAGCGGTGATTACCAAGTTTCCATTATCTTAATCAACCAGAAGTTTTTATCGGTAGGTTGTGGGGACATTTCAAATGTGCACATTTTAATAGAAACATTGGAACATTTTCAAGTAGAGTCAAATTTATGAAGTTTAGAATTCTAGCATTTCTTAATGAAGTTAAAGTGCTCTCAAATAAAGTCAAATATTATTGGATATCGATAAATTTTATCTACACGCTGTTTCCTCTGTTAGACATGTTAATAGAGTACCAGTCTGTGAGGGTGCTGTAAGCGTGAATGTTGATAGATCTTTGTCACGAAACCCGTCTGCTTTTTTACTCATTTTCTAATAAGTGATTCTTATAATGTCACTTTTTTCCTGCTTTCCTAAAATTTTTCCATGGAGTCATACTGTTTTTACGTAACATCATATCCTTATATTTTCCAGAGGCAATGAAAGCACTTCATCTCAAGCTACAACTAGTGATCGAGCCCGTGAACGGGAGCGAGAACTAGTAGTCGTTGACTACTCGGAATTTCCCTCCCTGGCTGGATCATCCAGCTCTACGGCAGCGCCTGTCTTCAGGAAGTTCCCTGACAGAATTTCAGGTCGGAACAACTTCAAAATGTCGAAAGAAAACTTCCCTGCACTCGGAGGAGCAGGCAATTTTCCTGCCTTGGGTGGATCGAAAGAAAACTTTCCTTCTCTTAGTGGTGATGGAAACACCAGACCCACATCATCAAACACCAAATCAGCACCAGTAAACACAAAGCCCACAACAACTACCTCCAAGTCGATGCCGGTCAATCCTCAAGAACAAAAAGCTGAAGCTACAACCAGTGCAAGCAGCGGCACTGTCAGAAACTTAAAAAGCTCTGAAGTTGCTCAATCATCCAATGAAAATGTCCTCACACAATGGGGTTCTTCCAAGAAAAATGAACAACCTCAACAAGTCGAAAAACCGAAACCTGTGAAAAAAACGCGGACGGAGGAGTTTCCAAGTTTAGGCACAGTTAGTTCCAACAGCGGCAAACAGAAAAAACTTAATAAACCTATTGAAAATGATACAGTGTCGATTAGTCAATCTAACAAGATCAAAGTAAAAAATAAAAGCGAAGCAGAGAACAACGTAGATAAGTCTAAGTCAGAGAAAAACAAAAAGAAAAACAACGAATCAANACGAAACCCGTCTGCTTTTTTACTCATTTTCTAATAAGTGATTCTTATAATGTCACTTTTTTCCTGCTTTCCTAAAATTTTTCCATGGAGTCATACTGTTTTTACGTAACATCATATCCTTATATTTTCCAGAGGCAATGAAAGCACTTCATCTCAAGCTACAACTAGTGATCGAGCCCGTGAACGGGAGCGAGAACTAGTAGTCGTTGACTACTCGGAATTTCCCTCCCTGGCTGGATCATCCAGCTCTACGGCAGCGCCTGTCTTCAGGAAGTTCCCTGACAGAATTTCAGGTCGGAACAACTTCAAAATGTCGAAAGAAAACTTCCCTGCACTCGGAGGAGCAGGCAATTTTCCTGCCTTGGGTGGATCGAAAGAAAACTTTCCTTCTCTTAGTGGTGATGGAAACACCAGACCCACATCATCAAACACCAAATCTGCACCAGTAAACACAAAGCCCACAACAACTACCTCCAAGTCGATGCCGGTCAATCCTCAAGAACAAAAAGCTGAAGCTACAACCAGTGCAAGCAGCGGCACTGTCAGAAACTTAAAAAGCTCTGAAGTTGCTCAATCATCTAATGAAAATGTCCTCACACAATGGGGTTCTTCCAAGAAAAATGAACAACCTCAACAAGTCGAAAAACCGAAACCTGTGAAAAAAACGCGGACGGAGGAGTTTCCAAGTTTAGGCACAGTTAGTTCCAACAGCGGTAAACAGAAAAAACTTAATAAACCTATTGAAAATGATACAGTGTCGATTAGTCAATCTAACAAGATCAAAGTAAAAAATAAAAGTGAAGCAGAGAACAACGTAGATAAGTCTAAGTCAGAGAAAAACAAAAAGAAAAACAACGAATCAAAACATAATGACGGAACGAGTAAAAGTACAAAGAAAGAGCTATCCTCAGAAAATAACAAAAACTCAGTCAATAGTAGTAGTAGTAAAAACAGTGTTAACGATAAGAAAACTAATGATAGCAAAGCTATGAATAATCTGGCTAAGGCTATGAGTAATTTGACTAATCTTTCCGGGAAAGATAAAAATGCTGTGAATAACAAAATGAATCTTAAAAACTCATCAAATGGTATGGCTGTGAATAATACTTCTGGAAATAGTGCTCTTGTGAATAACAAAACCTCTGGAAATAGCCAGGCTGTGAATAACAATTTTCCTTCTCGAGGTGAAGTGAGTAACAGCACGAGCTCCTCAAACAGCATGGCTGTGAATAACAATGTTGGGAAGAAAAATAAAAGTGCAATCCTGAACGACAAGAATTTCCCTGCCTTAAGTAGTAGTCACTTAGAGCATAATCAAACGAATGGAAATCAAAGCAAAAAGAAGCAGAAGTCCTCTAGTACTGTATCTGAGCCAAAATCCAAGTCAGTGCCACCAGGTTTCGAGCCTCAGATGCGGCAAGCTTCCACTAACCCTCCCTCTAAGTCAGCTGTAAAGCCACCCCCTGGCTTTACCTCTCTTAGTAGTCCAGCGTTTAATCAAAGCTTCTCCTACACATTTCCTCCGAACTTTGAGGATCGAAATGCGGCCTTAGAAAGAACCTGTCGGAACATCTTCGAGAAGAATAAAAAGTCATTCCGTGATTTTGTTCAAGAGTCGGAGCTGTTTGTCGGGGGAATCATAAATGCAGACACGTATCTGAAGACAATTGGTGCTCTCCTTGGAATGGACCAACTTCACACTGTTTTTCCGGAGTTGATAGCTCTTCTGCCTATTATTCAAAAGCAACAGGTAAGCTCAATTTATGATCTGTCTGAATTGTTATATTACCAGGAGATTATTTGTAACATAGCTCTCGCGTCCCACAGATTTGAGTATAAAGTACTTCTTGGTGTGTAAAATTTCGCAAGAAACACATCAGTCCTCTCCGAAACGAACTCTTATGTCCAACAAAAGCTCTTTAAGTGAGGCTGTAATGAAGGGGATCCTACTAAAAATAAGTATCTAAATCGCAAATTCCTACATTATGAAAGAACTCCATTACTCCGTGAGCACAGCAGAGGGTGTTTCTTTGGTAATTTAAATTTTGATTTTGCAGCCCAACTTGACGAAAATCCTTGTCCTTAAAGATTTGCTGCTGCACATGAAAGCCCCTTTTCCCATGAAAAGTCACTTAAGTGTTTGCAAAGCATAATACAGGGACTATCCATAAGAGGATAATAAAGACAATAGATTGTATGGGGGTTGAAAAAAGTGCACTTTCGATTCTTTTTCCTTTGCCAAAGTAATTTTATCATTTTGGCCTCTGCTTTTTGCTTTGGTTTCCGTTTGTTTACTTTTGTTCTGAATGACCTTTAACCGGCAATAAAATTTTTGTTTTTTAGGACTGCATTTATCGTTTTTCTTCCCAGCATTGTTACTTGTTACTCACAGCCACTCAGAGTTTTTAAAATTCTTTTCATTAATCACAGGAATTTCATCTTTCCCAGAAAGACTAGTTACACTATTCATAGCCTCAATATCACAAGTTTTCTGTTACTTAAGCATGGAGAAGAACTTATATCATAGAACCAATTGAATCAAATCATCTACTTATTGAATAGAACTCCATGAAATTTAATTTTTTAAAGTTATTTGAAGTGAACGGGATCAGTGTTAATTTTCCTCTCATCTGCTTTATCAGTAATGTTACTCTTTATCTCTAAAATGCTAGGAATCAACTCTCCATTGTAGTGTGTGTAAAGTGCAAAGTGGTTCCCACTATACAGGGTGCTTCAAAAATCTCGTACCACTTCTATAACCTCCAGAATTTTTGCCCCTTTTGAGAGTGGTCCCTTTAAAATTTTGGGGGTTCCTGAAAGTCGTTTTCTATGACCTACGACCACTCGTAAAATTTCAAGTCTTGATCTCAATTAGTTCAAATGTTACTATGGTAATACTGGTGGTGAGGGACTTTTGGATCTCAATGAATCGTGACTGAAAATTCAACGTATCCATTCATAGCACCTGTCAGCTCTCCTTGTCGAGAAACTTCCGAGTCTTGAATTCGGCCCCTTGTTTAATGTGCTGGGCTAAACAAAACTCTCCGGTGCTTTAGATTTTTTTTTCTGCACCAATGATTCGTTGGTTTAAAATGAATTTTTGACTGTTGCAGGAATTGTTGTCTGCATACGAAAAAGTGGCGAGCAAATCAGCTAAACGATTGAGGAATGAGGAATGCGCTTTATGCGGCCAAGTGCTGAATTCTGCAGATAGGCCAACTCATGCGTCGGCGCACGTCCTCAACATGAATTTCCCTCCTCTTGGACTTACTTCCGTTTCCAGAAAATGAGACTAATACTGTCTACGTCAACTTAGGACCCTTTTTCAAGAGCTTTGTTCACCTCAGTAAAGAAGGTACACATGTCGTTTCTTCAAATTGAGTCAGTTGCACTGGTCACAGCATTGTATTTTGATGCTTGATTCTCGTAGGTCAGCTGAAAATAATAAGATCAGTTCAAACAGTAACTTCTTAAGTTTATTATAAACTGAGGTATCGCCCTTTGAATAATTTGGGTTATGATGTCATCCACAGCAGTGTTGCCTCCCTTGGTTTCTTCCACCTTGCTTTCATTTGTCAAAAAGACACACATCTGCACTGTTCACGCAACCAGAAACTCGGATGAAATGTAGGTGGAATAAATCAAGGGTTTCACTACTGTGTTGGATGACGCCATGAACGGAATATTTCAAAGTGCGACATCTTGATTAATATTGAACTTAAAAAGTTGCTGTTTGGACCGATCTTATTCTTTTTAGCTAATCTACTAGAATCAAGCATCAAAAGGCGATTCTATGACCAACAAAACTGACCCATTACCATGAGTCAGAACTTATTAATCTGTATGATTGGATTTGTGCTGCCAAACAAGTGAGTGGCTTCGCTTTAACCTTGTAAGCTGTGGTTTAGAATTTTGGAACTTACCTATCATATCCCAGTTACCTTAAATGAGAGTGTTAACACTTTGGTCCCCAACACAAGAGATGAAAGTCATTTAATAAGTTTTTCCTTGCACAAAAATGTTTTATCGCAGAATTTGCTAATTTTTTTAAAGTTCTTATCCTTTATTTTATTTCTTTTTCGATTTTAGCCTAAAATCAATACCGAAAATCTCCGTTGTTTTCTCTTTAAAAGATTCATCACCTGTGGGCTGATTTTTGAAATGGATAAATGAAGCAATAAACAAAGAAGACAAAGGGGGAAGGGAGTGCTCCTATTGGTTAAAGCGGGTGGCTCTTATCGACCAAAGAGGGAAAATGATTACCTGTAGGGTTGCCATTACTTAGTCTATCACGTACCCTCTTTTGTCTGTTGCACCCACCTGCTACTACCAATCGCTCCATTTTTCTTTTATCCTCTTTGTCTATCAATTTCAAGGATCTACTCTCAGAAAGAAAACTGAAACACTATATTCTGACTATCAATCTTTTTTTTTCTTTCTTTTTTTTTGATTTTACATGGGATAACATATTGCTTGACTAAGGGAAGTTCTTGAATTCTATCCTAACACTTTTGAAGTATCCTACTCACAGCACACATTTTTCTGCTCTCTGAAGTCTATTGATGAGCAGCGTTACTTAAGGAAAATATCTCCCCAAATCGCCTGAATTCATTGTACTCCTAATCTTGACTTTTTAATAGTTCTGTAAAACGCCAAAGGTTTTAATGAGACTGCATTGAAAGCAAGGTCTTTTTTGCTTCATCCAAGTCATACACCTCGTTACGCTCATTTAGAGAGCGGGTAAAATTTCATCTCAAGTTTTGTCTGCGTCGAAAGCTGCTGCAAGAGGTCAATTGTATTTAAAGCTCTATTTAGAGGATGAAGTTTACTCTACACTTTAGATAAATGGTTAAACAAAACTGAGTGCAGGAACTTGGATGAACTGGTTTCAGCTTGGCTAAAAATGGTATTGCAGAGCAAAACGTGAGATTATCCTTTAACTGTACCTAAGCTTGCCGTTTGCCAAAGTAGTTTGATGTAAATTCTTTGTATACTTGAAGGGTAACGATCAGCCGAAACTAAAATAAAGTTCTCTCAGTTTTCGTAAGATTATGGGAGGCAACTCAAGTTGTTCTTGATGTATCCCTGTTTATAAGTATATTAAAATGCCAATTACACGAAAAGTCACGTCTGTTTTGAGGGTATTCTCATCAATTGTGATTTTAAGATCACTGCAGCTAGACGTCTCAGCGTTTTTCTCATCTTTTTCATGATTAACTTATGTTGATTTCTGTATTTTTTAATTTTCTGTCGTTGTCCAATCACTCTCTGTTGTAACTTGTTTTACAAGAAATTGGGCCTTTTATTATTGAAGTTAAAGTTAAGTTTTATCCAGATTGAAAGTAAGTGTCAAGCCATATTTTTCCTAGAAGAGCATTAATTTATTTTTCTTACTCTTTCCTTTTTTATCGTCGTTTTATGTCCCGACTGTTGCAATGTTTCCTCGTATTATTGAAGGCTATCGTTCCTTTGTTTTTGGCTCAAGAGGAGTGTACATAGTGAACGCGTTTTCCCAAGGATATCCAGCTTCAAAAATTAATGATATCGATTATCATCAATGTGTTTGCTGTCAAATAGTCAGCATCGGATTCTGATAATATTTGTAACTTTTTAAGCTATTGAGTAGTCCGCTACCCTTATGAGTCTCTAGATGAGGTATGAGTTAAAGCATTTATGCGGAAAACAAATCGCACAACAAAAATTACAGAAATCAACCTCTAAACAAAACAGAAGCGTTAACAATATTCACATTCGATAAGTGGCAAAATTACAAATTACATTGTTTGCATGTTCTAATTTCCATTTGTTCTGTGTTAAAGAATACTTTCAAATACTTCGTTCAGGTGTTGATTTTCGAACTTCCTGTTGTGTGAATCATTTTCTGTATGAAATTTGGAAGAGGAGACATGATACATTTTACCTTGTCCAGTGGCCCACTTTGACGTATTTCTGTCAAAGGGAACTATGTGCATTAAGACATGAGCCCTGAGACCCATAAAAGTACACGCATAACAGGGCTCACGTCATAATGCATATAGTTCCGTTTGATAGAAATACGTTCCCTTAAAGCTGGGGCACCCAGCCCAATTCTTCATTACACTCATGAAATGCTGGATACTTACCATTGGATGCCAGCAATTGGATTATGATGACAGCCGGACCAAGTTCAGCCAAAAGGAACCAGTTTTTTCGTTTTGTTTTTTTAAAAAAAACGATGTATCTTTTTTTAATATCTGTGTATGAATAGGTTCTTGTGTAAACGCATTTGTGCAACAGGCTCCTTTCCAATGAACTAGGTTCAATTACAATCGCAGAACAGATATTTAATGATTCTTGGTGTTTGAATTGAAACCACCCGCTCATGAAAACTCAATGCTCTACGTGATTCGCATCGCACGCTAAACGTTACTATGATCGTCTCTGCGATTAAAATATCTGGCAACCTCAATCTTGACGCTTTGGCTCAGCTATAGCAAATTACTTATAGTTTGAAAAACAAATTGTGTGAAATGAACATTGCTCAATTGAGAAGCTCTCTGAAACCGTTGTAGTGCGCGATTTGACTCACGTAGAGCTTTGAGTTTCTTGTGAGCGGGCAGTTCAAATTCCTTGCAACCAATGCGAAATGAAAATGTTAATGTCTCCGTTAGGAGTTGGTTTCAGTAATTTTCGTTGTGCGAATCGTGTTCTACGTGAAATTCTGATTAAGAAACATGTATCAGAATGCTTAAATTCGTATCCTGTCTAGTGGTCCATTCCAGAAATTTCGACAACTTTGATTCCTGTCATTCTATTTTTTATCTCTTTAAAAAGTGGTTTTAGTACATACATATTCGATCTTCAACCGAAAGAAGTGAATTGAAACTGGAGTCCCAGCAAAGATTTTCTTGCATGCATTTTTGAGCTTCTACTTCTAGGGTAGAAACGCTCATAAAGGGAGATCACATAGGATACTACCTAGATTTGATCCGAGTGTGGCATAGTTGCATACTGCATTGGAAATTATTTGACCTTTCCAAAATCTGTTACAAGGCCTCCTCTTGTCAGCATAAAGCCTCACTCACTTGTACAGTTTTGAACTAGTGTAAGATGTAAGATTTTTAGTAATCTTTTTTGTAAAAATGGTCCAAATTTTAGTTAACAGCCCTACCAGTGTACAGTTGTCCATTTGTTAGATGCATCTAGGAAGGGATCAACTCGTTTCTAATGTAAACATTTTTGATATTTGCGATGGATGATCTTGTTTTTACCATGTTATTTTTCGCTGTTTAACGTCATTTTATTAATTGTTATTTATAACTGTCCATGGAATAAATTTTTTGTTGGACTTTTAATCTTGTCGTTTCTTCCGTCATTTTTGTATGAAATTGAATTGGAAGCAAGAAGTAAATAGCATAGTCGCAGCTAAAACATTTGCCCCATAAAGAGGGTGAGAGTAGAAATGCTGTATTATGTAATGCTATCATGAGTGAGAAATTTTAAAATAATATGCAGCAAACATAACGAGCATTGTTGCCGATTTTTCAAGCATTTTGAGTAAGAGTTAGATCAATTTTTAGGATGAAAATTCGGCACCTAGCAGCTCCGATTATAATTCCTGCAATCTGCAATGAAAATGCTACAATCTCAGGAGTAGTGTAGAACCGTAGAACTCATTTGCACTTATTGAAAATAATTCTTTAATTTTACACCTACGAGAAATCCATGGCTGGGGTCAAAAAATACGCATCTCTGATTTCAATTTTGTAAATTGATGCTCTTGGCTTATTTGATAGACAGAAAACCAAGCAACATTTTTCCCTAAAATTTTCTGTAAACTTTTCTTGAATTTTCTCAGTCACTTAAAAATGTTTACATTTCAAGGAAACTCTTTGGATTGGATTCCTTATGAGAAAAAAAAATAAAACTTAATCGGATATCTTGAGACATTATATCGTAGACGCATATTTTTTTCACCTCAGCTCCAACAAACTGGATCACATTTAGCCAAAAGGAACCAGCGCCTATACAGCGTTGTAAAAATATTGCTTCTTCATAATTATCTCAAAAATTTCTCAGAATGGCAAATAGCTTTGGCTTTCCACCAAAATTTGAAAGGTAAATAATCGTGTGAATTTCAATACTGTATACACATATTAAGTATTTTTAAAAGAAAAGAAGTTGCAAGATTTTGAAAACACTGTAATCGCGCTGGTTCCGTTTTGCTAAGTTATGCAACTTTGAAATGGACCGGTACTACAAACTTTTCTAGCCAACAAATGTGATGTTATTTTTCTTATGGATTGAAAATTGAAGGATTTCCTCATTTCTCCGGGGGTTTGAATATTTCAATTGGATTAAATTTTGCAATAAGGAGCCACTATTTTTGGCCCATTTTAGAAACAACATACATACATGCCATTAGTTTCCTTATGTAAATGTGCTTTTATGGGAGAGCCAGAGATAGTAGTTCCTTATTGCAAAATGTAATCCACGCAAGTAGCAGAGGTTGCAACAACTTGCAACATAATCGTTTGATTCTTGCAACTAATAGATTGATGTGCAGATTGCCTACTCTCTCCACCGAAGGAGATATCATTGTTGGAACTAGTTGCAATTAAGTTGAAACATGTTTCGCAACTTCAAAGTATTGCTGGTTGCCTATCTTTAGATTTTAAACAACTTTGGTTCTGCTATTTTGCAATCTCAGCAGGTTGCAACTTCGTCTTCCGATCAGATTGCCGAAAATCGGCACTTCTCGACCAAAAGTTGACCGAAAGTTGAAACTTTGTTGCAACCAATACCAACATTGTTTCAACTTGTTGCAACTTTTACATTGAAAAATGCTACTTGGGCAATTGTGCATGATGTGCATACCTAATGAAAAGGCCGAGAAAAATATTTACTCGGCTGTTTTATTTTTTGTCGGCCTTTTGTGGTTAAAATATGGTCGTAGCGCTGGCTCTGTGACCAGGAGGTCTTGGGTTCCATTCCTAGCTGGGTCAAATTTGATGGTCTCAAACATAGGCTGCCCGAGGCAAGTTTGTACATGCGGGTCAGTTGTTCCTGCAAAACATCGTTTCCCGCAAATCGCCGTACACTGCTGCGATGTCCGCATCAGATGCTACGGGCACGAAATTCTCATAACTAAAGCCAATCCCCTCATCGCTCTTCTCCGACCGCGCACCGCCCGTCAGGGCCGGATTTAGGGGGAGGCCACATGGGCTGCGGCCCATGGCGGCAAATTTTGCATTTTTTTTTTAAATGTAGGTACCTATAAAAAAAATCTGATTCAGAAAAAAAATTACAAACGAGAGAAGACGACAAACTCTCTCATTTCCTGAGAGTATAGTAATTTCTAATTTTGTTTTCTTTTGATGATACAAGAGACAACGCCTTCAATTAGTCGAGTTAAGAGAGAAACCAAACGCGCAATTTGGCCTGGAATGGCGCGGCGCAGAGAGGAATGATGACGAAGACTTCAGATGAAAAGGAGAAGCCCTTGGCGCAGTGGTCGGCATGAAACACATATTATCGCCTCCAAGACTGCATGAATACTCCACGTATTGCGTCAAACTTAGTGCGGCCAGCAGCGGTTGACGTGAAACGCATAGCGCCTACAAGGCTGCATGAATACTTCACGCATTCACGTAGAACCGTAGCTGCGATTTGGTCATCTCATCCTACACATTGCCTCCTGCCGAAAGGCTTACTTTGCCTCGCTGAGTCAATCACTGAAAAGCAGCATGCATTAATGAAAACTAATAGAAGAAGATAGATTGGATCAAACCCAATAATCGGGTTGAAGTCACTTTAACCACTTACTTGCTGCCCGATAAGATGAGATTGTCTCCCATGACCGGCGACTTGAGTTACGTTTACGTAAAAGATGTTTACTTAATTGTTTACGGAGGGGGGAAGCTCGACGGCACGGAACTGATTCTTAAATTCGAAACGTTAGTACTTTATATTTCTGCTATTAGGTGATTTCGCAAATTCTCAATATCTTCAATGTGTTCTGCGTTAATTTTGGATGAGAGAACTTGTCTTGTGATTTTTCTAAACTTGTCCTATCCAATGGCCCAATGGGAAATAGCACCAATCACAGTGGCGTGGCGTGCTTTGCGATATATCGATTGATCTGCCGCTTAAACTTGTAGAATAGGATCGATAAAAGGTGTAGCAAACACCTTAATAATCGATTCTTTACCATACCTTCAAATGGGGGAATATCTATAATCGATCATTCACGCCTCGCCACTGACCAAGCACCTCTCACGCAGGAGCGCCACAGAGGCACCGAGAGCGCCTTCAACTTTTCGTGTAGGCAACAGCGCACTGCTTCCAAGTTAAAATAGTTGTATCGCCTAAATTTTATCGTTCTATTCTCACTCAAGCACGCATTGACCTAATTTGAGGAGCAGCAAATTGGAAACCGTTTAAGTATTACGCAATGCATTTTGGCCAACTTTTTAAAACCGAGCCCCCTCCTTGAATTACGTAAGGCTAGCCCAACCCCCCTACTTCTGTCAGAAAATAACTGATGAATCCTAATTTTTTCTTTAAGTGGATTGCATTTTGCAAAAAGGAACCAAGATGATTCCAATATTGCTAAGCTTGTACAACTTACAATCTTTGTAATGAAATCACTGACATTATGCAAAAAGTTAAATTTCCGGAGGTAATTTTCGTCTTGAATTTATAGTTTATTGGGGGTAAAGAGAAATTTTAATTAGATGATCAGTCTATGGTTGCAAAGTTCAAAAGTTGCGCAATCTTAGCAACATTGGAATTCTTGTGCGGTTCCTTTTTGCAAAATGCATTCCAAGTGAGGCTTACCTACATTCTAACTTCCAAGGGGCTTGACCCCCTATCCCTTCTTTAGGCCCCAGAAGGCAAGCACAGACCCCCTCCCCCCTTGAGACGCTTACGTAATACTTAGAGGGTCCATTGGAATCAGACTGAATAGCTCGGGGCTTATGAAAACAAATTGACTTGTCAGGTTTTGGGGTTTGGTGTGGGTTTTGTTATGCTTTCCAGTTTTCATCCCCACATTTGGAGCTCTTTTCAACGACTCTAGAAAATATGCATTAGTAGCATCGTTCGCAAATGAGTCGTTATTTGTCTACTCGCAGAGTATTATTTTGTTTTCTTAAAAAGTTTCTTTTTTTTAACGAGAGAAGAAAAAAAACATTCCTCAATTGCGACGTTTCAAAATTTTTTGAATTTGCACTGAATATTCTGTACAATCAAACGGAAGTTTTGCAGCTAAAACCTCAAATATAATTCATCAGGATCCAGCAAGTAGACTACATTGCTTTTTCTTCATTAAACCTATGGAAATATATCGATTCTTGGAGGGGCGACTCGGCCAGGTGTCCAAACAAGCATCGATTGTTCAACACAGCGGCATGATTGTTGAATAGTTATCAAATTAACTTGATCGATAAATCCCTATCTTGGCAATGCTATTTAATGATCAAGACCATTCGATAACGACTCAGGTGTGAATGGAGGAAAAGCAGTGTTGCCGACTGTGGCGTGGCGTGAATGATCAATTATCGATATTTCCCCATTTGAATCCGTGGTAAAGAATCGATTATTTAGGTGTTCGCTGCAAACACCCCGTTAATCGATCCTTTACCATAGGTTTCAATAGCAGATCAATCGATATATCGCAAAGCATAATCGATTTAAATAGAGGAAAATCAGTGTTGCCATGCCAACTTGCTGGATCCGTCGATGCCATACGTTTTTTTTTTCTTTTCTTTGAAAAAAATGTGTCCAGAGACCTGCCAAATCGCATATTGAGGTACCTACCTACTTATTTTCCAATTTTTACCATTGTTGCCTTTTGCTTGAAGAATTGTTTTCACAAATCCCTGTCAACGAACGTTATTTTAGTTTTTTGCAGAGGTCGCTCTGCAAATCCTTACCTTGGAATCGGAACTAACAATCAGTAAAAGTTCGAGTTGATACATACGTGTTGTGCCGAAGGTCAGCGCATTATTTGCAAACTCTTCGAGCTCGGCTTTAGTGAGCCCGTAAATATTGCCATCATCTGATAGTAGGGCCGAAGACTCCGCCATGGAGCACAACACTGGCAACAGCGTGATCACTACCACTAGTCTCTGCAAAACCCATAACAAATGAATTAAGTACATTTTCACACATCGAGAACTAACGAACACTACCGCCTAACCGACAATGGAGAAATTGCAGGCACATTTTTTATTGCTTCATCTGAAAGCGCTTAAAGAGCTGATTTCACAGTATTTTGTATACTTTTTTTTTGATATGGGAAATAGTATAAAAATAGATTTTAAAGTGAGGGAATGCGCCGCTTAGCGACGTC